GCATAGAAGGACATGGCCTTCAGCAAGGAACAGTGCTGCTGGAAAACTAAGCATTTGCCAAAGTGGTGGAGTACAATCTATACTTACATTTTTTTGTGGACATTTCCAAGGCAACAACTGCTCATCCTGAGATATATCTAGTCTGTGGCAGCAGGCTTCTGCAGTCCCATAAGAAGTATGAGTTACCTGTGCCCTTCCTTGTTCAAGACTATCAGCCTAGAAGGTTAACCTTCAAAAACACAGCTGAAGAGGAATTTTCCATCAGTGTGGCACTTTCCCCTTTTTAGCTAAAAGAATGATTTGCCACGTGACTGTAGATGTTTCAAAACTTTTAGTGGAAAAATGGTTCTTTCCTCCATGACTTCCCCACATGTCAACAACATGTCTAGTTTGCTGGTAGGGAGTCATGTACTATAGGATCTTCTTCTTTCAATAACATGTAAGTGTGAAAAGCTCTGGGTTTCAAGCTCTCAGACTCACTGCAATGGCAGGGGATTTCAGAAACACATCAAATCTTTCAAAATGAAATGTCACTTGTACTTTTTCAGACCAAAGTTAAAATAATAACAATAATAATACAGCTAAGTTTCTTTTCTCTCATTTTCAAACAGCACATTATTTGACATCTCAGAATTTCCGAATGGGAATTGTATCTTAGACTAATATTATTTAATACATGAAAGGCCCTGTGCAGCCTCCTGATTTCAAGAAAAGAAACTGAATTGAGAAGGACTATTCAAAGAAGCAAATATTTGTCAGCATAAGCAGATGTTATACACTTGGCTCCCTATGAAATTGGTTGCACATTATAAGATGCAGATGAATATATGAATTCTTATTACAGATAAGATGTGCTATGCGTGCAAGTGACTTCAGGCCAATTTTTTAACTGACAAAACAAGGTCAGATGCTGAAAGATATTTAGGCAGCAAAAGCTGCAGATTAATTTGTCACAAGACTTTCAATAGGTATCTTGCATTAAATTAATTTGGATTTACATGCTGAAAGTTTTTGAAAATTTTCGTAGGTGCTTTTCTGCACCTTTAGTGGTAAAATTTCCTTTTAATCTGGCACTTTAACATCAATCCACTGCCTACAGCCAGAATGCTGAGAAACAAATGTAATAGATTTTCTTCCCAGAACACTAATAAGCAATTGTGAATATAGTTAAGGATATTTATAAAATGGGAATTTAGTTCACACTTTGCTTGCCTCCAACCCTTTTTATACAATGTATTATACAGCTGTCACCCTTTAAAGTGCTGCAGGGAGTTTAATGTAAATATATATTTTTCTATCAATTCTCTATCTAATACTGAAAACATTGCAGCTACACTTGAATATAGTGCAGCTATTTATTATTTGTATTGATGCAGTAGAGGATGCTCTTTGCTTGGAGCGTAATTGCTGCAATTCTCAGGCGTAACATCCTTCCCCAAAGATTTTCTACCAGAACAACTTAACAGCTAATTCCCACAAACGTCAAGGTAGCAAAACAGCCTTCAGTCAACCTTCTCTCATAAGGAAAATACAGACTTTTAATATATCTAGAAGTTAAATGAATTCAGGGACTGAATCTGTGATCATGGGATGCTTAGAGTAGATCCTCTTGGTTGCCACTCATTATTTGTAGTAAAAAAAGACTGATGTTGTTTATCTTTGCCAATTTAAGTTCTCACACTGGATGGATGTGAAGAGAGGGGATGCTTCCATGGTAACAGCATGTCAAACTTCTTGTGGCTTGGACAGTTTAAAATAAAACTTCTATCTGGTGGTACCTTTATAAGTAATTGAGCTCCAGACGCACTGGTGTAGAGATGTTACAAACTCGTTTACTTGATTTCATCATTAATGTGTCAACAGGGATTGAGTGTTTCTTAGATACGAGACTATTACTGGGGTAATTAAGAAATATTACAGCAGAATTTTAAGGGACAAAGGGAAAGCAAAAATTTCACTCTTCAAACCAATCTGGGTGAGGCACTGCCACAGTATTCTTTCAAAGTCTTCTTCATCTTTTTAAATATCAATTCCTCTATGAAAGACAAACAGTTTAGACTGTTAGCCTGAATTCTGGGAAAGCTTTTCCGCACACTTTCTGTGTTACCTCAAGCAACTCAGTCTCTCAAAGTTTCAGATTCCCAGTTGTTAACTGGGAATTACAGTAATTTACTTCCTCATAAAAGTGTTGTGAAAGTAATTCGTTACAGACTGTAATGTGTTCAAAAAATGGTCACAGCACACATAAATACCTATGACACAACAACCATAAGGCAATGTGTATAAACTGTGTCACAAAATTAGCTGTGCAAGAAAGGTCTCAGAATGGTGGTACTCTATACACCCAGTTCAAAGAGTACAGAAAGAACAAAGGAAAGAAAAGTTATTCTCAGAGGTGATCTAATTCACTGAAAGTTAACTGTTCTTTCACTTATGACTCTTAAAAAGTTCCTAACTGTACTTTAATAAAAAAAAAAAAGACAAAAAAAGATACAAGTGCAAACTGTATTACTACATAACACATACAGACTGAGGACAGGTCCTTTTGTAGTATTGTGCTCCATAAGGCACTTCACAGATTCATCTTTCAGATATACATTTTATGCACCTGTTTACATGAAAAACACCATAAAGAGTATCAGAAGAGGAGAGCAAAGGGTTCTTCAGGAACACCTTATCATCAACCAGCGTACAGGAGAATGGCACAGACAAAAATGTCTTGGGAAGGGCTCACTTTCTTTGTCAAGTGTGTTTGGTGGTTGAAGGGGTCCTTGATCCACTGTCTCTGCTCCCCTCTCCACAACAGAAAAGCTGTGTGCATGCTAGAAAGGCCAGTGTGATTATTTGGGTTGATTTTGTTTGTTTGTTTGTCCCCACATAATAATTGGTTCAACCTAAACCAAAAATTTTGTTCCACTGAATATTTACTGGGATAAAAGGGGATTGTGCCTGCATGTCTATGTCATTCTACAGCTTGCAGATACACAGGCTTATATATGGAAAGATGGCTATGAGTTTCAGTTCCCAATCCAATACATGTTTATGTACAACATGCTGTAGCAGTGCCAACATGAGAGATTTTGATCAACTCACATTCCTGGCTTAAAAATACTCTTGGAATCTGATTAATGTGGGTTTAAATCCTCTTAAGTAGAAGGCATAAATCTCCCAAGTCCCAGCTGAATACTTTAAACATGAGCTTGAAGGGTGAATGGTATGTCTTCCATGATGATTTTGTAAAGACTGTACAATTTTTTCCCATTTAACTACTTATTACTGGTTTCATATTGTGGTTTGGTTTTTTGTGGGGTTTTTTTAGGGGGAAAAAAGCCAGAGAAAATGTCTTTCTACCTTTTCCTAAGTTAAGGTGCAGTTTCTTTATTCCTTTGAGAGAAAGGACTGCAGATATTACAGGGCCCTCTTCGACACACATAAATGTTGTATGTATGTTTGTTTCTTGTGTGTGTTCTCATCTGTGCTTTAGAATCACAATTTTCCCCACAAGATTTTAAGTTTATTTTTCAATTACAGCCTTAGCAGCAGATTGTAGTAACTGGGGAATAAAGAATTCTGGTCCTCATTCCTACAGCTTGTATGTTTTGACATCTGCATAAGTGAGTTAATTTTCAGAAGCATTGATCCTCCACGGCTCTAATTGCCTTCAGCACCTTAAAAAAATAGTATACACAACACATTAAAAACCTGTGAGCAAAAATATTGATTTTGCCTCACATTAAACTTCCAGACTATCAGAAAATACTAGTAAGTGTACAGAAGATAATTTAGGAAGTCTGAAGGCTTTTCAATAGAAGATGAATAAAATAGTGAACATAAATACATGAGTCTTCAGAAGAATAAGTAACCCTAATAACTGTGGGGATTTTACGTGTGAAGTAATGAGAATTACATAAATACAGCCTACTGGCAGGAAGACGTTATAGCAATAGGTGTTAAAATCCCATGATTAATTTAAACAATTGCTATGTATCAATTGAATAAATCTTATTAAAAAAATAGGAGGATAAAGGGAAATTTTCATATTTTCCATCTTCTGAATGGAACCATATTTACAATTGTCTGCTATGCTGTGGTTTCCGATAAATTGAATTTAAACATTAGAAGACAGTGTGCTACCAGGGGACAACAGTTCATAATAACAAGTATTGTTATTTTTTTATACCCCCCTTATATGGAATGGCAGTCAATACGCTTTTGAGGCAAACCACTGGTATGGCTGATAAGTAACAGGTTGCATCCACTTACCTGTGTGTCTGATTTTCCATTTTGGTGGTGAAACCAGATGACAACATTCAAAAATCACTTTAGGCCTAACAGACTTGAACAGATCCTTTTCATTTAATGCCAGTTTTCAGGTTTAGACTTTACAAAAGAAATCGGCTAGTCTTCCCAGACTTTGGAAAATGGGGATTACCTACGTAATATCTCCTGCTCTCCTGCCTTCTCACAGTATCTCTTGTTTTGTTTCAAATCACACCAATTAAGTATATGTGACTGAGGTGAAGCTCACATATTCTTCACAAGATCTAGGAAGTTCTAAGTCCTCTCATATACAATATGAAGCTTTTCCCTATCAGCTCCTTATTTCACTGAACCAGCACATGGTCCTAAGGGAACTAAACACCAACCTAATTTGAACTCTATTAACGAACGTTGACACTTCACTTACTGTGTCTGCCCCAAAGAATTTGACACTTACTATCATCAAATCATAGCTTCTATTTGTTAGCTGTGCTATTGAAACAACATTAGTGAAATTGCTGGAAATCCCAAAGTTGTAAAAACACAAAGGCCCTGAATATTTTATTTCTATCAAGTTAAAAAGTAACTTTGGTTATCCAAGCAATTTTTAACAAAGAACTAAAAAAACTTATTAAAATATAATTAATCTTTTCTGATTTATTTTATTTACCATACTTCAGAGGTACAACACTGGTTGTATATAGAAATAAATAACATATACATGTAATTTAATAACTTACCAAAATCCACAAGCTTGACCCCTCCTTCAGTGGTCAAAAGGATATTATTTCCCTTAATATCACGGTGAATGGTTTTGTTTTCATGCAAATGCTGAAGTCCCTGAAAGTTGAGATGTAAACATGAACTTTCTACTAACACTTCAGTCCTCTATACTACAAAACAAAACCAAAAAAGTAGCAGAAAAGTATGGAAAACCATAAACCAGATGGAGTGCTTTTAAGCCAAAACCACAGAGATGTCATTCTTACTGGAAAAAACACTTAGCACACCATAAGGAATAGATATTTTTTAATTACTCCACTTTTGGTCAAATAGAAATTTCAAGATGAAAGCAGGAAAAAGGCACTATAAATTTACATTATATATGACACCTTTAGAATATAAACTCAAAGAAAACTGCTAAGGCCTAAATTCCACTGCAGAAAATCAAATTCTGATCAAAATAAAATAAAATATAATGATACTTGATCCTGATCAGCAAAAAAAAATATAAAAAAATCTTGTAGCAGTGTTTGAATTCAGTAGATCTGTTGATCTTTTTGCTATAAAAAATTTTCAGATACAGACGTAAGAAAATGAACAGTATTTGGGGTATATTCTGCTATTTCTCAAAAGAAAAGCAATTTTGATGCAGAAATTAAACAATTGTCAGAAATAAATTTTCATTCCCTTAATAATGAAACAGACTAATTGTTCTTCCCCTTGCTTGTTCAAAAAGAACCATCTGAATTACACATTACATTGATATCATTAAACACTGCTATAACACAAGATAGTGAGCTGTGTTAGTGAAGACATGATCTTCATTCATTCAGAGAAAAAAATACGAGCTGAATACTGACTGTCCTTTCAGCGAGAGCTTATCTTACCATCAGAGCTTCATGTAAAATGTAAGCAATTATAAGTTCATTCATCCTTTCACCTCTCTTCAGAAATCCTTTCACAAGATCAGTCACGGATCCTCCATTGCACAACTACAAAACATGAAGGAAATACAAAAAAGGAATTAAGAATGTTGGAGTAGCCACCTGATTTTATTTTTAAGTAGGTTTTGTACTTGTAGCCAAATGAGCTCCTATTAAACTGGCAAACCACAGACTGTCCTTATGTCTACCATTTATACAAACAACATACACAACAATTTTTGCCATTTTTTCCCACTACTTTCTGCATTTAATTTTTCTTGCCCAAATACAAGTACAGCAGTCTATGTCTTTGTTTTCCTATATAGGTGATTGCTTTTCACTGAAACACAAGTAGCTTATAGCAATAATTTTGCTGTGAAGGCATGCTGTGTGTGGCATGCCGATTGCTTCTTATATTATCATGTGCAACTCACCAGCAATGCAGATTATTACTGCATCAGTTCTCAGGTACAAAAGCCACCTACAATATAGAATGGATTTAAGGCATCAGAAGACAGGCAGCAGAGAAATTCCCCCAAGGAAATACTCCAAGGGGAAAACTGCCCTCTTTGCCAAGCAGTGCTTAATTCCTAGTGTAGAAGGATGTTATACACAAGAGATGGGCATCACGGAAGATGATGAAAGCACCGTGAAAAGGTAGGTCTCAAATCCCACTGAAAACAAGGTGGGCCAGGGGTGTAAGACTGATTATAGCCCTTGTAGCATCAACCCTGTCAGTTTCTTGTTTTAGATGCACAGCCGATAGCTACTCTGGATAATCATTTCTCCCATCCAAGGTCCAGTTAGACTCCCATGTCCTGTCCCATATACAAAGGAAGCAGTGGTTTGGCCTTGCTCCCAAAGAAGATTAGTGTGCTCACATCACCAACAGCTTAGTTTAGACCTGGAATATTTCATATGTTCATTTTAATCACTTACAGTTTTTCCACAGGAAGAAGCAACAGGGTAGCTTTAGCAGCTAACTCTGTAGCAGTTACACACCCACAAAGATGAAATTGGTACTTAAGCCCTTGAACTATCCATAATGCACCTAATACTCATTGACTGTACCTCTGTAAACAATACTCATTGACATTACCTCTGTAAACAATACTCATTGACATTACCTCTGTAAAGGAGCAGCTGCTTCCAATAATACAGTGAAATAAATTGTAAGTTTAATATTGTATCATCTAGTGGGTTTTCAAATGACAATAAATACTCATGTATGACATTTTACAATGCAGCACAAAGCAGTAATTCCCTTTGACTAAGTATTTTGAAGTCTATTCAGATCAAGGGCATAATATATCAATAAAACCTTTCAACTGCAGAATTCCAGACATCAGATACTCCCTATATGATGTTTTTAATCTGTTCCTCTATACTTCTACATTTTTTCTGTGCTGTAATTACAGAAAGATTTGCACCTTACAGAAAACGCATTTCATAGCCCTTTGTGCCCAAATGTTACTACCTTTGGAACCCCTGGGTTGCATTGAACTTGCAGCACAAGAATGCTCACACAAATACCATTCAATACATAAGTCTTGTTGAAAGATGTGTCTCACATCAGGTCAATGAAGGCTTTGGTCTGATAGATGCTTAGCTCTATGACAACAATCTTGAAACTCTTTCAATCTCAACCTTACTTCAGTGGGACGATATGCATGCTTAGAGAAGGAAGGACTTGTATGCTTAAATGATGAAATTAAGCACTTTGCTGGATCAGGGTCAGATTCCCAAGCAGGATTTAATTTACTGTCTTTTGCCATGCTGGTCTGCCTTCTTCATTGACTTTTTCTAGTTACTGGTTTGGGTTTTTTTTTCCTTACAATGACATTATCTTCCCAGTGTCTCTATTGTTTTAACTTTGTGCCATCACTAATGTTAAATCAAACCAAATGAATGATGACAATTCTGAAACTGTCTCACAAGTGACAAACCAACTGTGAAATAAATTACACATATGATACTCTTCAAACTATTTTTCTTCATTATCTAGTATTAAAGTTTTGTTTCTCATAGGTGGATATTCTTCTGTTATCTTTACAGAGCTGGACATCTGCTAGTCTTTCTCTTCAAGGTAAAGGAAACTAACCCAGAAAGGTATATATCCTTTTTCTAGGGAGGAGAAGGAAGAAACTATAGCTCAGAAATTACCTTTTTGAATGTTTAGGCAGTAAAGCCAAGACTGAATTTATTTGCCTGGGTCAGCAATGTAATTTTTTCTTTCTTAAACATGTCCCTTTAAATATTTTTTCTACCCCTCCCATAAGATACAAATCCCTATTAGGAGATAAATACCAGTATTGGAAGATAAAATGTACCTAAAATATCAGGTAAAGTGAGATACTAAAACTGTGATTATTTTAGACCAAACCAAGACTGAACCTGGGTATATAAAGTGCCAGATGAGCAGGTCTTGAAGAAACAAACAGAAGTCATCCATGCCAGAAATCCTCCACTGTCTCCCAAGGCAGGGTGGCTGCTTAGACAGAGTTCAGCCGAGGATCTCATGGACACAGGTTATTGCATGCAAAAGGAAACTTTCCTTTTGCCACCTGTGTCTCAGAGTTGTGCTTTTACTTATATCAGACAGTTTGTATTTTTCTCATACCACTAGCATAGGAGGAAGAGGGGAAAAAAGGCTAGGTATTAGAATGTAAGCAGCTATAAGAAGGAAAAGGGATTATTGGAATACAACTACAATTTAAAAAGGATATTATGATAGAAACTGTATGTGTGTGCTCTACATTGAGTGGGGTGGGAGGAGGGGAACGATGACAACAACTATGACACAGGTTAGTATTAACTTTGTTCTTATTTTTCTGCAGGCTAAACAAGTCCTCACGTGTAAAATGTGGCATCTGGTCTCATTTCCTATTTCTAATCTCTATTTTTTTGCAGGTGAAGCTGCCACATGTCCCTGTAAATATGCACATAACCAAAGTTCAAACAGTGATTCTTTCTTCTGACTCTGGCTATCAAATTTCATGTGTGTTCAACGCAAGCTTATCATAAACACCTCAAAAAGTCCTCCTTGCTCTTCTCTTCCCTCTCAAAAGAAAATAAATGATGATACTCCTGCCGGATGTACTGGTGGACCATACTTGCTTGGGAATCTGAGTAGACAGCGAGATAAATTATCCTTGTGGATGCTGACTGGGATCTAGTTCATGACTGAACAACTTAAAGGGGAAAAAAAACCCTAAACAATTAAAAAATAAAAATAAATAAAAATAATAAATCACATTTCCTTAACTCATGCAGTCCTTCAATGAGAGATTATGAGATAAACATTATTTAGCAGTACTGCTGGAATGGAAGTTTCCTGGTGTATTGTTAAATATTGCAGCTTATAACTATGTTGCTTAGTCGTATGATGCTTCTTAGTAGCATGCTGTCGATAGAAAAAAGCTGTGTAATCTCTTTCTGAAGTTACTGTGTTGGAGTTAGGCCAACTATAAAGCTTGGATGATAAGAAATCATGAAAGCAACAGAGATACTCTTTAGAAAGAGCTTTCCAGTGAAGTACCTAGGAAAGAGAGGTGCTGGTAGCTGTTATTTTGTTGTAAGCACTGTGAACTCACATGACCAAATAGCTAATCAGTCTGCGTCATAAGTCCACAACATTTGGTAAAATGTCCTGAGGATACCTCAATGAAGGGCACTATAAACAGACAACAAGAAACACATGGAGAACCTGGGACACAGACATATAGTAGAAGCTGTGTGTCTATCTGAGCTGTGTTCCACAGGGCTGCTTCCTAAAGTTCAAAATAACTCACCAAATCTAATGTCCTTCAACCTGTCATGATGCTGGGAAGAGAGCATCAATTCTACTTCCCTCTCCCACACCCAAAACACACACGCACAAATTCTCTATTACATGCACAGATGCATTTCTTGTGGTTTGTATCAATTTTACAATACCTGTTTTAAGTAGCTAGTAATTCCAGGAGGAAAACTGGGTATGGAAGAAGTGTTGGTGGCATCTGTAGATGTGAACTGAAAGGACTTTCTCAGTTTGGTTCGCAGCTACCACATACTCAGGTATGTGAAGTACATGAAAAACCAAAGCCCTTCACTCTGAACTGGCTTTAGGAAGTCACCAAAGGCTGCATTTTCCCAGCAAAGGATAGAAATCCTCTTTTAACCTTTGAATAAACTTAATTTACAGAGAGAGACTTTTGTAAATGTCCAGCCTGTCAAACACGGTAAGGGAAGATATTAGTGATCCTTCCACAAGGATGCTATTTAGAAATGCCATTGTGATAACTTTGTACATGAGCAGTTTTCATCAATTTAATGTTAGTCACTTCTTCTATTGTTCCCTTGTGATATGCAGGTATTTTTGTTACTGGCAGTATTTTCAGTGCCTGCAATGATAGAATGCAAATATTACCTGCAAACACAAGCAACTAAAAAGGGTGCGTGTGTGTAAACTGAACCCTGTGGGCTATAAGGGGGTGAAGAAGACAGACAGATGCTTCCCAGAGGCACATGGCAAGGATGAGACGCAACAGTCCCCAAATGCAAGACAGTAGATTCCTACTGGACATAAAGGAAAAACTTCCCCACCAGAAGTAGTTAAGCACTGGAACAGATTATCTAGCAAGTCTGTGTTATCTCCATCCTTGGAGATAATTCACAATTTGCATGGCAGAGACCCTGTGGAAACCTGTAACATTGGAGTTAAACATCTCTGAGCAGGGGGCTGGACCAAATAACTATCAAAGGTCCCTTCCAAACTATAATTTTCTATAATTCATAATATTTGGATTTTAAAATATTCAGTCCCTAGTTCAGTTATTTAGAAAGCAATAACAGGGGAAAGGACTAAGGAAATCTTCCATACTCAGACCAAGGGAAAGAATAATTTGATGGAAGGCTTGATCCATATGAAAACCTGTATGAAAGGGCTGTAGCTCAGATGGCCATACATGGCTGTACCAGAAGAGGTGTTTATGACTCTTCTACAGTGGTAGCAAAGGGTTCCTCCCTTATGATTTTCTGGCACTCAAAAGGCAAAGACTCATACTGAGATGACATACAGTCCTCCACCCACCCATCTGCCACAACCCTATGCTACTTTAATTGAGCTATTAGTATGCAAAGATGTCTTCAGCAATAGATTTATAAAATAGCATGTTCCTAACACGTGAAATGTCAGTTAAAATTGCCATCACATCACAGTCATCCAGGTGTTCTTTTGAGGTCTTACTCACTCTTCATCTGACCCAGCTGATCCATTTTTTTCTGTTGAGCTCTTCTGGATTCTGATACCCATTGAATAAGGTTTCAGCACTGGCTTTGCTTTTAAGAAAACTAGCAGTTGCACCTTTGTTAGGCTATTACAGCCTTTAATCATCCAACTGCTCCTGATTTATGCATCTGTGCTAAGCTGTCAGGTAACATTTGTTTGCATCCTGCAGTTGTCAAGGTGCTTTCATCTTATTTCAGTAGCTTGGATGCGAA